TGATTCACTTAATAACTGTGTCAAGAAAGGTCATATAATGGGGCAAACCTCACTTAACAACTGTCTCACTTAGCAACAGAAATTCGGGGCTCAATTGTGGTCGTAAGTCAAGGACTACCTGTATTTGATGACTTCAATCTTTATGTAGTAAAAGCTGTTACTATATAGGCTGTTAAAAATCTTATCCCTGGCGAGTAAATAAATACAAGTTGCAAGATCTAACTTTTGTTGTTCATAGTGCAATATGGGGATTGTCTGAAAGTGATAAATTGACCTGGAGCCTCAGGCTGCACAGACAATCTGGTCTTTCCAGCTCTACCTGAACTTGCCCGAAATTTAATCTGAGACACCTTGCATGCAGGTATTTCTCACTGGGCTTCAGCAGAAACTATGATTTCATAACATAAATGAAATACACGGAAAAGCTGCCTTTTAATGGACAAAACCTCCTAGAGAAATCGGTCTGAAATAACCCTTCTGGTGTTTGTTTTTTTTATAAATGGCTAAAAAATCACACACATTCCTATGGCTTCACAGAAGAATGGATTGCATCTTATAAGATCACTCTTACAATCTACTTATCTCCTGGCAGTACAATGATGCAGCTAACCGTATCAGACATTACACTGAGGCTGTGGACATAGCAGGATTCATTTTTCTGCCTTCTTTTGTAAATTGGTCGATAGTAGTGCAAGTTTAGCTCTAGGCATTCAAATCTCAGTGACTAAATATCCTGGTGCATTCAGCATTACCTCATATAAGCCTTGTTATGAAATACACCAGTGCTTCTCAACCTTGTCCATTTTAAGATGTGTGGACTTCAACTCCTAGAATTCCCCTACCTGCTTTGCAAACAAACATCAGGGGTTTTTTTTCCTTAAAAAAAGACAACGCAAATATGAGGACAGTCTTGTTTTTGCTAATGCTTCTTCTTCATCATCATCCAAGCATATAAAACACAAACTCTGTAAAGGTAACTTATCATAACATCTAAACTCAGTGTCCCAAAAAGCCAGGATTTGTAAAATTTACTTCCGTCTTGTGTGGAAAGAACAAAACAAAATTCTGTATTTGGACCTCAGAAAGAATTAGGCTGTTTTTTGGGTTGCCCATTTATAGCAAGCCAGGAATCCTGGATTTTTGTTACATGGGAATAGGGTCAATACTTCAAAACATCACGATTAAAAAAAAAAAAAAGAGCCTCCTGCTCAAGTAATTTCCCTAAACTCCAAATAAATACCTTTGAAAAAAATGTTCCTCTACAAAAAAGATTGAATACTCCTGTGCGAATGCCTGCTGCAATACCTATACAGGTAGTCCTCAACTTACAACAGTTCATTTAGTGACTGTTTGAAATTACAACAACACTGAAAAAGTGACTTATATCAGTTTTTCTGACCCTGGCAGCATTTTGCCTCATGGCTCTCCTTATTACAAGTAGTCTTGACTTACAACAGTTCGCTTAGTGACTGTTCGAAGTTATATGGCACTAAAAAAAAGAGAGACTTATGACTGTTTTCCACATGATTATTGCAGTATCCCCATGGTCACATGATCAAAATTCAGACGCTTGGCAACTGACTCATATTTATGATGATTGCAGTGCCCCTTGATCACTTTTTACAACCTTCCGACAAGCTAAGTCAATGAGGAAGCCAGATTAACTTAACTAGCAGGTTACTAATTGAACTGCAGTGATTCACTCAGCAACTGTGGCAAGAAAGGTTGTAAAATAGGGCAACACTCACTTAACCAACCATCTTGCTTAACAGTGGAAATTTGGGGCTCAGTTGGACTCTCTGTATGCATCTAAAGCCAAGCTTCGTTTTCCTTCTAAGTTATAGTGTTCACTCATAAACAAATCCAGTCAAATAAACATGCAAAAGTTTCTTTATCCAGGTGACAATCCTCGTAAGGTTATACTTTATTCTCATCTCTGGCTCCAAAAAAAGGCAGTTTCCATTTGCCTTAGAACAGCATGGCCAGACTAGTGTAGCTCCATCCTTTGACTTCATTAGAAATACTACTTGATTTCAATTACTAGCAACCTGCCACAGGTAGTCCTTGACTTATGACCACAATTGAGTCCAAAATTTCTGTTGTTGTGCTAGGCAGTTATTGAGCTTTGCCCCATTTTATGACCTTTCTTGCTACAGTTAAGCGAATCACTGCAGTTATTAAGCAAATCATAGGTCATTAAGCTTCCCCCATTGACCTGGATTGTCAGAAGCCAGCTGGGAAGTTTACAAATGGTGATCACATGACCCAGGGACAGTGCAATGGTCAGAAATACATGGCCATTGCCAAGTGCCTAAATTTTGATCATGTGAACATGGGGATGCAACGGTCATTAATTATGAAAACCGGTCATAAGTCACTTTTTTCAGTGCCGCTGTAGCTTCAAATGGTCACTAAACAAATGGCTGTTAAGCCCAGGGCCCCCTGTAGTTGCCAAACGTGTGCATATGCATGACAGATTAAATTGGGAGAGGGGACACCATATAATTTGCTATAAACTCTTCTGATTTTAATCAAAAGCTGGGTTATGCTTCTAAAAACAAACAAATGTATACTTGCTATTTGTAGGCATGGATAAAGACCTATCACCAAGACACACTGCCCAACAACTGGTCATTATCCATCATTTACTCACAACCTGTAATTTATGGCGGTACTTTAGATCTCCTTTGCAATCCTGCAATCCTAATTACCCTAAAGTTAGTTTCAGCACTTTGAAGTACAACTGCAGCCTACATAGTAGAGATAGTTCTCGACTTACAACCATTTGCTTAGTGACTGTTCAAAGTAACAATGGCACTGAAAAAAATGACTTAATATCAGGGGTCCCCAACCCCCGGTCCGTGAACCAGCATCGGGCCGGGGCATGCCAGAAACCGGTCCACACAAAGCCCCATCTGCGGGATGCAGGCAGCACACAAAACCACGCCCCCTTCATGGAACCGGTCCCTGGTGCTCAAAAGGTCGGGGACCTCTGACTTATATGACCAGTTTTCACACTTACAAACATTGCAGCATCCCCGTGGTCATGTGATCCAAATTCAGACGCTTGGCAACTGCCTCATATTTATGATGGGTCCAGTGTCTCGGGGACACGTGATCCCCTTTTGCGATCTTCTGATGAGCAAAGTGAATAGGGAAGCCAGATTCACTTAACCATGTTACTAACTTAACTGCACTGGCTCACTTCACAACTGTGGCAAGAAAGGTCGTAAAACGGAGCAAAACTCGCCTAATCATCTTGTTTAGCAACAGAAATTTTGGGCTCAGTTATGATCGTAAATCGAGGACTCCCTGTATAGTCATATGGAGAATTTACCTGATCTTTGTAAATCCTTCTGAAATGCAGAACCTAACCACAGATTGAATGAAGGATTTGATACCCCACAAATTAGCTGCTTGATATTCATTTAAGGGACTTAAAAAAAACCCCTACATTTCAATTCAATGGACTAAGAAAACACACATATTGGATAAAACTTTTGCTGCTACATTTAGGGTCATGTACATGCTACATGCTTTAAAAGAAAAATGGCAGATACGTTCAGCCGTGTGATAAGTCCACATTGGTTTGGTTAAGAGCCAAAGTTGGTATGAATGTCCTGTTTGTGCCCTTATAGGACACAGCGAGCTGCAGAGGTCCATATATCCTCAACCTTAATTGAATGTCTTAACCATTCTCCAGATGATGGGTTGGCCTTTATTACTTTTGATCTTGAGTCCCAGTTGTATTATGATGATGATGTACGGTGTTGTATTTTAACCTGATTGTATTTATTTTCAATCCTAATTACAAACTAGGGAGTTGTATACTGCTCAGAATCAGCTGAAGACAGTGACTTATAAGCTCCGCAAGCAAGCAAGCAAGCAAATTAATAAATAAAAGGATTATTGCCTAGATAGGATGCCATCTTGAGATTCATCTGCAGCATGCCATAAAATATTTGACACTATTGTTCTGAAATGACTAAGATAAAAAGCCCAAAAAAGAGACATACCAAGGAAAATCTCAAAACATTAATTAGAAATTTTAAAACAATTTTTTGCTTCTTTATGGTTGTTTTCCAAGCTCAAGTGATCTATCACCAAAAGAATTAGAAATGTTAAAAACCGGAACAATAGTAATAGCAGTAGTACTATTTCTATGTGCCCCAAATACTGCATCTTACCCAGGCTACCTTTTACAATCTCCTGAGATGAAGAATAGTGGATTTAGATTAAAAAATAAAATAAAATTGGCAAATATGGAGTGACAAATATGGATAAGGCAAAAAAAAGGAAAAAAATGGGTGAAGGTATTAAATATGAATTTGACAAGACAAATATTTATGATTATCCTACAAATCTTCTCTATGAAATTCTAATAAACACATCAAGATCAAAGAAAAGTGTACAGATTATAGTACTGTACTTTTTAAGGGCACAGCATTTATTTGACAGGTTTGGTTTGACTATACCTCTCCCCCACTCTCCCTTCCCCCATATTATGTGTTTTGATATGAAATTTTGGGGGAGAGGGGTGTCAAGTCAACCTCAATCATGCAATGATAGATTTTTTAAGCACGTATTTAACCAGGAAATCCTCAAATGTTAGTCGTGTAAGTTAGTCACTACAGCACCAACAAGAAATGTCTACCACAGTATATAGTAGGCCAAGAGTTAAAAACACTGGCCTATAAATATGGAAAGAGCTAATTCATGTCACTTGTGGACTTCAACTCCCAAAATTCCTCAGCCAGTGTGCCTGGCTGAGGAATTCTGGGAGTTGAAGTCCACAAGTCATAAAAGGGCCAAGTTTGAAGACCCCTGAAGTAGATGATTTGGTGTTAAGATAATAATAAAGCAGCAACTTCCAAAGCTGCCAGCAGATTGAAAAGTGCTACCAGTACCACTCAGGCTGATTATGGCTGCACTTTTTCCTCATCATGCTATCTAGGAGCACTAAAACACTCACCTACCCACTAAATACTAAGGCCAAGAAGTGATGCTCAACAGGATCTCACGTTTATTATTGAGAAGTGATTAATGGTGAAAGAAAGGCATCACCCATTCCTCATTGGCTTAACAAGAAAACTGAAGAAACATTCACTACACAGTTTACAATATTTTTTTTTCTTCCAAAATTAATTTTCCTGTAAACAAACAAGTTTTTACCATTGTTCTCAGCCTTCAAATCAAATCAAGCCAGACTTAATCTGTAATCCATATAATGCACAAGAACAGAACATTTCTTAGGACTCTTCGTATTTCACTTTTGAGAGAGAGAAAAATGAACCACCCCTCAGACATGACCTTGTAGACAAATCCCATTCAAATCTTCTAGGCATAAAAAAAACTCAGAATTCTTCATAAAATTCCTCTTCCAGTCCATGGGAAAAAAAAGTTACTCATTCCACTTTCCATGGTGGATGTTCAAAAGAAAGTCACAACTCGGGTGTTCCAAGTGCAAATATCAAAAAAATCAGGAGGAAGAGGGGGTTTAGAAGGCCAGGAAACCAGGTAAGCGGCAGATTTAAAAATCAGAGGGGGGAAAAAAGGGCATATGCCACTTGCGGACTTTAAATCCGATAACATAGTAAAAAGACAAACAAAAAAGAAACAAAAACCCCAAAGCTTATGCTCTGAAATTACAACCAAAGCCAAAGGGGGGGGGACAGTTTTTACTTCTACTCTACCTAGAAGGGGTTTTTTGTTTTTTTTAAAGTCCTATGCCTCTTGTGAAATTTCAGTACTTTTTTTTTTAACTGTACGTTTATAAGAGTTTGTATGGAGTCAATGAAATAAGTCCTAATTCTTTCCGGTGTAGCCTTTCTTCCTTTTGAAAGATATCCGAGATGCATCATCTCTGTTGCAGTCTCTGTGAAAAGGGCCAGCAGTTTATTTGACACGGCCTTGACGTTCCTATAGGAAACAGAACAGAAGAAAACAGAGATTGTTAGTGGATAGCAGTTATTGAAATGGATTACAGTGCCACAAGATTACATTGAGGCATCTTTCCATATTCTTAACTTCTTAATAAAATACCTGCTTTTTGCCAATTTTCATACCTAAAACATATAGCTTTTGAAACAAAGTGTGTTACTAAAAAAGCCTTTCATTTATGCCTTCTCCTAGCATATTTCAATTCTTTGAAATCTCATGCAAATGCTTTGCATACGTTTAACTAACCATACATTCTTTCCACAGTCATAAGAGTAAAAACTGCAGTATAAACTAGTACACTACCCCATGGTTTTGCTCACAATTACAAATGCCACTTTACAATGTGGAAAAGGTAAATAAGTGTCTGTTGCATTATTTGCTATCTATCTACATTCCAAGTCATAATATACACAGGCAAATGATCACTTCTTCATCTTTGGGGAAGATACGTTTGTTCAAATAACATACTGGTAACATTTCCCCTAAAAGAAGCTATTTCAGGAGAAGGAACTGCTGCTCTAAAAACGGTCTGTAAATCTGTCTGGTTTCTCTGTAATTTCTTTTCCCCACCAAATGTATATTGGCATACTATGCAAGGTAGAGTTTCTCTCTAGAAATTTTAACTTCATAACTCTTGAGATTCTGTAGGCAACCTTGGACAAAATAAATTTTAACCTCTGCCACAGAAATGGTATGGGAAAGAATAATTTGCTTTCAGAAGCGACGGAACAGAAAACCTTCTAATACAATCAAAGACAGCAACTATAATCATATTATTTGGTGATGGTAACTCTGAAAGAGGGCTTAATCTATACAAACTATCGCTCCTGCTCATCAGAGATACATTTCTGCTCCACTTTTGCTTATTCTATGGCAAATAACAGAAGGCAGCAAGATCAGCTTCTATTGACTTATGTCTGAGAGAAGAAGCCATGTTCATACAGTCTAAAAGATCAAGGCTAGTGGCACTCGCTAACAAGTACAAGCAAATCTAGGAGCTATTCAAGCACAACCAATCCCTTCTAATTTATTCAGAACACCATGTCAGTTGGTTATCACACACTGGTATCAAGACTGGGATGAAAGCAATGCAAATACTGTTCTTACATACAGCTGAAGGAACAAAGATAAGATTCAGTGTATAGAAGCTTCAGGGAATTGAATATAGGCAACAATATTCAATTACTGAATATTCTGTTTGCAAAGTTTATCTACTGATCTGTTTGGCCAATGCTGTCATAAAGAATATTTTAACTACAAATTCTGGAGATGGATAAACCAAACCATAGAGCAACACTGAACCACCTGCTAGCCACCCCCAGGCTTTGGACTACGGTCTTTATCAATGATCGCTGGCCATGATGGCTGAAATCTATGGGAGTGACAGCAAAAACTATAAGGAAGCTGCTTGGGTTGCTTATCCTGGCCTAAAGGAAACATATCTAAGAGCCATCCAACAATCCATATTTCTTTTACCTTGAGCTGGTAACAGGTGGTTGCATCTGTTTTGAAACCATCTCCTTTGGTTATCAAATTAGAGATCACTACTAAAACATCTGAATGTCTCAAATATAATTTATTCTTGCCTCCCCCCTTCTCCAAATAGAGTCTTAAGATCTGTTTAGACTAGGGGTGTCCAACCTTGGCAACTTTAAGACCTGTGGACTTCAACTCCCAGAATTTCCCACAGGTCTTAAAGTTGCCAAGGCTGGATCTGGTTTAAAACCTGATCTATCGTTCTTAGAACCAAGTCAACTCTCTCCTACACATTTTTCCTTTTCTCTCACCATTTCCTCTTTCTCCCTCTTTCGTACTGTACATCCTTTTTGACTGAAAGCCTACGGGTAGGGATTGCCTTTCATTATTTGGTAAATTGCACTAGGCATCCTTTAAACTTAGGGATGAATTTATTTAGAGTATTTATATCATGTACTTCAATCAGAAAGGTTCCAATGCAGCTTATAAATCAATAAAACTAGAAATTCCAACCAGCAAGTTTAAAGTCTGAAATGACACAACAGATAAGGATAAATTAATGAAGGAATATTAAAATGACATTTCTTATTACAAGGATCTTAGTCTGCCAGAGTTCACAGGAATAGCTATGAGGGAGGAAAGAAAACCCAATGTACAAAAATAGCTAAGCACTTTACTTGTAGAAGCAAAAGTCTTTGAATGCAGTTTAATATACTGCTATCAATGCTCTAACTATGTCTTGTTTCTTATGTGATAATGCATTTATTTCACAAGGCAATCTCTGCTTTTCAATGTTTTATTAATATTGTTTGGTGCTTTATATATTACAGTTTTAAACACTAATTTATTCCAGGTAAGCCATACTGTAGTGAAAAGTGTGAAGGAAAAGCCACACAAATAAAATTAATCCCCACAATAAAGAACTATGTTCTGTTTGTCTTTAAGAAAAAGGACAACTTGGAGTAATAAATTTTGTGCACTCCACAATACCACAATCATGACCCAACTGCCTACTTGCCAATGTGCAACAGCACATTGTACTGATTAGACATGAATTATATTATAAACTTTTTATTTATTTATTTTAATTTTTATGCAGGAATTCCCTGAGACTTGAAAATTATTTCAAGATTTCTTCAGAGTAAACGGTTGCCCTATATCTATTCTATTCTATACAGATCCTGTCCTTTGCCAGTGCAAAACAGGGTTTAATCTTATTCCATACCTTTTGCCTGATTAGTAGACAGGGTGATGGTCATAACATATATTTTTTTACATAATCTACTTATATCACAATGTTTTACTCCAATTTAAGTTTTTGCAATCTGAAAGAGTTCAGCAATACTCCTTATGCATGTATTCCAGTTCTGGTCACCTGGAGATAAGCTCCCTGCTTCTGAGAAGCATTTGTTTACCAGTCATCATTTAATGCAAGATTACTGGAAAACACCCAAAGGAAAAGTAAAATGTCATAAAATACAATGCTACTGACATAACTTTATGCAGGATTCTGTGAAAGAAAGGACAAAGCTTTCAGATTTTTATAATAACCAGCATTTTGGGTTTTATATGAAATGAATCAGCATACATTATGGCAAGAAAGGCCAATAATCAGATGAGACATTAATCCAACAATTGATTTTTATACACAACTGTGAAATTTGAGAGGCAGTCTCTCGTACTTAATACAAAATCTCCCCCCTCATTTTATTCAACTTTGTTTTAATACAAAATTGTAAATGCAATAACTCGATGAAGTATTATGTTATCAGGAGACGCCTGCTCCTGAAAATTATTCTACAAATTCAATGACATACTTTGAATGTCTTGCAAGTCACAGTACAGTATAGCAGTGGTCCCCAACCTTTCTGGCATCAGGGACTGGTTTCAGAAGAAAAATTGTCTTCCACAGACCAGGGGTGAGGGTTTTTTGCATGCACAATCTAGATCCTGTGCATGCAAAAATGAAGCTTCACTCGTTCACTAGCTGCTTATGCAACCCAGTTCCTAATAGGTCACGGACCGGGACCAGTCCACAGCCCAGAGGGTTGGGGACCCCTGCTGTATAGCATTTTTCTGTTATTGCAAAACTTGAATCCATATATAAAGTACAGCTAAGACTGGGGCATGAAAACATTTTTTAGGTTTGCAGACTCATATCAACATTCTGGCTCCATTTCTGATTAAACACTCACTTTGCCATGAATCCCAGAATGGAACAAACTATAACTAAGTAGTAAAGTACTGTAAACTGATTGACTATAAATTATCTGATGAAGCTACTTGTTTCCACAAGACAGGCCTCCATGTTTTCCCCAAAACACCCAATTTCAGATGTACTGTAAGCCTGAAATGAACAATCTAAGATAGGTAAAGGTACCTGTGGAAAATAAGGGAATATCTACCATGTTGTCTTGTACCAAAGAAAAGTGCTTTCCACTTTTCCAATGTCTATATATGAACATAATTCAAAGATAATTTTAATCCCCACCCAAGCCTTTGGTGAGATGAGAATTAGACCCTTCATTTTATTGTATCTGGTCTGTTACACTTGCCATCTTTTAGTATTATTTTTATGTTTTATTGATTTTACTATAGTTTGATTGTTGTAAGCCTCCCCCAGTCAGGTGGCATACAACTTGAATGATTAATAACTTAATCTAACACTTGGTCTTTAAAACTTTTAAGAGTTTTCTTCACCATAGTGAAGAAAGAGTTATTTATCTTACTTGCTTTTCATTCTATGCCCTAGTTTTTTGCCCATTAGACATTCTAGGCAGAATGATGTCTGATCAGTTCTTGAGAGGTAGCCTAAAATCTAGAAACACAAAAAGCCATCCAGGTATTTTTTTTTCTTATTAAGAGCCTTTATATAGTATTCCAACATATGACTTTTATATGTATCTTAAGCAGCACTTTAGATGCCTACAAGTACATCCCAAAATAAACAGGCTTATTTCAGTCAAAAACCAGCTACAAGTTGAAAGCTCAAAAGTATTTTGCCTCATGGCTCTCCTTATTACAAGTAGTCTCAACTTACAACAGTTCACTTAGTGATTGTTCAAAGTTATATGGCACTTATGACTGTTTTCCACATTTACAATCATTGCAGCATCCCCATTGTCATGTGATCAAAATTCAGACACTTGGCAACTGACTCATGTTTATGATGGCTGCAGTGTCCTGGAGCAGGTGATTATCTTTTGCAAACTTTTGACAAGCAAAGTAAATGGGGAAGCCAGATTCACTTAACAATGGTGTTACTCATTTAACTGCAGTGATTCACTTAACAAATGTGGCAAGAAAGGTCATAAAATGGGGCAACAAATGTCTCACTTAGCAACAGACATTTTGGACTCAATTGTGGCTGTAAGCTGAGGACTATCTGAAGTTCAACATAAGAAATAACCTGGGCCTGCTATTCTATTCAAAAATGAAATTAAAATATCATGAATAAGTGCATGAACACTCTTTTAATGTCAACCATATTAAACTATTCCAAAAGGAAAGGATAAAGACTTCCTGTTCTTCATACTTAGCCTGACAATTATTGTTGACTTCAGTTAATATGATTTACATTACCCAAGTGTGTTTTGTCCAGAAAGGCAAATGAAAAGCAGACTGCAATCATCAGGCAAATTCTTAAAGCTCAAATATATGCTTTGTTGATGCAGTTCAGAATATTAGGAAAATATATGCATTACAGCCCTACATAAGATATTACATCTATAATTGATGAGCTGGGAATAAATTATTAGTAGCCATTCTAACACTAGCAGAAGTGCCAGTATACACTAGATTAGACAATTTATTTTTGCCATTAAGCAACATAAAATATTTTATACAGAAACATTTATAATACTTTAATGCAAACAGATTAATTGCTTTATTCAAAACTTGGACAATTTGCAGCATTCACTGGAATATTATTCAATCAGTGTTTTCATTTTAAGGTTGCAGTTCTGGGTTCTATCTTATTGATAGGATGTTACAGTTTCAAGATATTGTAATACATCCAGAGAGACTTGGAAATACAGTTTCTGCAGTATCACAGTGTTATAGTTACACAGTAACAAATAATTATCAAACCAATGAAACAGTGTAACCCTCCCCTTTAAAAAAAAGCTGTACTAGTAGTCAAATTAAAAAACTGAAGCTTCAAAGAGTACAAATAGATACTCTCTTAACATTATTCTGCAACGATGAGAACAGTTCATTCTATAGGGAGTATGTTAGCTTATTCACGTTGTTTAGAAAATGTCATAGGATACAAATACTTTGTTTCTGAGGACTCTCAATTCCAGTTAGAAAGAACAGCTTCTGGACCTTTGCAGTTTTAACCTTTAAATATCAAATCACTTAATAAAATTAAGATTAAAAATACTTTTTTGGGGGGGGGAGTGCCTTTACATCAGTGTCGACTCCCAGACAGGTCCCTGCAATTTTCTTGGCAAGATTTTGAAAGTGGTTTGCCAATGTCTCCTTCCTAGGGCTGAGTGTGTGTGACTGGCCCAAGATCACCTGTCTGGCTTTATGCCTAAGGTAGGACTAGAATTCACGGTCTCCTGGTTTCTCACCTGGTGCCTTAACTATTACACCGGCTGCCTATTAAAAATAATCAAGCCAAGTAATATATTTCTGCTGACCTGCTATTTTTCATGCCTGTATTTTCTTTACTACTTTGAATCTTCATGATGAATTTTAACATTAATTTTGCTTCTTCCAAATGCTTTGTTGACATGGTTACCCTAAAAATATTATGCCTATATGCTTTTACATTTCTGGGTCTTACAAATGATCATATTTTTTTCATTTAGAGACTATGGTTGCCTACATTAATCTTTCCATGCCCAGAGCCACAACTGTAACTACGATGTGACAGCGTAAATCCTACCCACTATAAGAAAACACATATTTCCGCATACACATCAAGAGGAGCAAAAAAAGACCATACAGACTGTTATATTAGAACAATGGTTCTCAACCTTTTTAATCCCGCGACCCCAACCGGTCGTAAGTTGAGGACTAAACCGGCCGTAAGTTGAGGACTAAACCGGTCGTAAGTCGAGGACTAAACCGGTCGTAAGTCGAGGACTAAACCGGCCGTAAGTCGAGGACTAAACCGGTCGTAAGTCGAGGACTAAACCGGTCGCAAGTTGAGGACTAAACCGGCCGTAAGTCGAGGACTAAACCGGTCGTAGGTCGAGGACTAAACCGGTCATAAGTCGAGGATTACCCAACTGGTCGTAAGTCGAGGACTTTCCCTGCCCGGGAGCACCGCGCATGCATGGTTCCGCCCCCTGCGCCGGCCGAGGCGTAGCTGGCAAGCGGCAGAGACAGAGCAGGCCGACCACCAGCTGGCCCAGCTCAAGGCACCTGCCGGAAAAGGGAAAAAAAATGGCGGACAAAAAAAATGGCGGACAGTCTTGCTTGGCAACCCCCGTGAAATGGTCGATCGACCCCAAATGGGGTCCCGACCCACAGGTTGAGAACCACTGTATTAGAAAAATCAGTAGATACCAAGAATTACATAGCTCATTCCAAATGCCCAAGGTTGAATCATTTTCTTGTACAATAGTCTCGTGTTCAAAGGACGTTTAAAAAAAAAACCTTGTAAACAAGTTGAGAGGGTCACTAATAACTAGAGTAGTGGTTCTCAACCTTTTCTTCACCACAGACCCCCCCCCCCTTAAATTCCTTTTGTGGCCATGGACTATGGCCATGGACCACCCAGACTTAACTCAAAATTTAAATCATAACATTTCTTCAAGACTTCATAGACCCCCGTGATGACATTGTGCCCCCCCCCCAGGGTTGAGAACCACTGAACTAGAGTATATCTTTAGCAATTTTCAGGGTACATCGGTGGTACACTGATTATCAATTCCTCATCAGTTAGTGCCTCAAGAAAAAAAAGAGAAATTGCAGAATGCAAAGCTGATCTTATTCCTTGAGTTTAAAAAAACCAGGACACTATAAACAAGAGGAATCATGCCAAAGATATTTGGCATATTGAAAAGCATTTCCACCCATAATTCAGTTTACTCAATTCAGTTCACAAACAATAAACACTATTATCCAGGGCATCTCATGGGGAATGGGGAAAAAGCCTACTTGCTACCACTACATGCTTTTCAACCTTTTCACCCATTGTACCACTTTTAGGATATGGCAATATTCAAGTACCACAAGTCGCCTAGCAAGGTGTCAAAAACTTGGCGACCAAAAAAAAAGGGGAAAAGTGATAAAGTACAGGTAGTCCTCGACTTACAAGTTTACTTAGTGGCTCTTCGAAGTCACTAAGGGACTTATGACCATTTTTCACACTTATGACCATTGCAGCATCCCCAGGGTCATGTGATTTATATTTGCATGCTTGGCAACTGATTCATATTTATGATGGTCACAGTGTCTCAGGATTATATGATTCCCTTTTACAACCTTTTAACAAGCAAAGTCAATGGGGAAACCAGATTTGCTTAACAACCGTGTTACTAATTTAAATGCAGTGATTCACTAAACAAATGTGGCAAGAAGTGGTAAAATGTGGCAAAACTCATTTAACAAATTTCTCACCCCTTTCCTTATATCCTCTCCTCTCTCCCCCCTTTTATATCAAGGGTGTTGAACTTGATTTCATTGAGGGCCCCATCAGCATTGTGGTTACTGTCGGGGGGGGGAGGAGTGGGGCTGTGTGGCCAGCTCTACATCACTCAGGTCAGGGGATGCCTGTGGGATGGATCCGGGGGTCTCCGATGGAGGGTTAAGGTTAGGCTCCTTCTCTCTCTCCCTCCTTCCCTCTTTCTCATTCCCATCTCCTTTCTTCTCCAAAATCCTTCCCATTCTCACACACGTCCCTCCAAAATACTTTCCTCTCTCTCTCTCACCACTTCTCTGAGAAAAGCCTTTTCTCTTCTGCCTCTTTCTCTGGCGTCTTTTTTTTCTCTCCCTCTCCCACCAAAACTGCTTTCTTTTATAGCCTCTCCTGTCTCCGCCCCCTCCTCCTTTCTATACTATATAAACTCACTACAATTTGGCTAGAGCAGATTCTAGTTTAAATACCTTTGCCACAAGTTATACTTAATGATAACCTCTGCAAATCTACTTGGGTATTGATGTTCACAATTTACTTGATCTTAGACAGTAACATCCAGCCTCCCTTTTATTTCTCTTCCCTGACTGCTCAACAAGTTACCTTTTTCACATTTTCCTCCTCTTCCTGGCGTTTCTCATAGTGTGAGAAGTCATCAAAGATGGAAGTGGTGTGCTTGTAAGTAGCAATGATTTTCAGCACCTGTTTAGCCTTTTCCAGAGGCACCTCCTGAGTGTCCCTGGAGTTGGTCACTGGTTTATTCTCATTGTTCTCTAAGCGAATGTGCCGCAGTTGGCTGTTGGGAACGTCCTTCACAAAAATCCACCTGACATCAAATCGCCCCTTCCATTTGTCCTGGGACCACACGCCAGCGCACGTATTGTAGTCCACAGCAGATTTCATTTCTGCCACTCCACAGAAATGACCACTGCCGTTGACACTGAACAGTAAGTAAACAGGACCTTTTCCATTCATTGACCGATAAGCGGCATCCAGTCTCTTATTACCGTGCTCTGTACTGCACCAGATGTTATATTTAATGGAACGATGGATATCATCTTCAGAATAGCTCTTGATAATAAAGACCCTCCCATGTTTTGGGTTCCAGTCAAAATCCTTTGGGTTGTAGTTGTTGATAGATCTCAACTTCTCCAAGACAGGGTGTGGCTCCAAAGGTGCAGACCCAGATGTGGTTTGAGACTGTCCTACTGCATTACCATCAACTCCATTTTGGCCAAACCCATTTCCACGGTTACGAGGTGCAACCCAACGGGCAGGCTGAGCTGCCTGTTGCTGAACTGGCAACTGAGTTGGTTGGGGTGGTGCAGGTGGCAGAGGTTGTGACTGTTGTCCTGCTGAAGGCTGCATTGCTGGTGGACTATTATTCATCTGTTGACCCATTGGTTGGGGAGATATTTGGGTTGGTGGCTGACCAATATTCTGAACTAAAGCCTGGGAAGGGGTTTTTGCCACTGGTCCTTTATTATCCCAAGTTCCAATGTCCATATTGTGTTTAATGGGGGGTGGTGGAAGACTTGAACCTGCAATCCCATTCTTGGTCTTCAGCTTGGGCTGTTGCTTTGCAGGTTTGCTTGCAATATCAGCCCAGGATGTTGGTTTAGGAGGAGCAATAGTAACTGGGGGCAAGCTATTAGAAGTTCCAATATTACTGGCAATAGACCCACTGCCAACAGCAGAGCCAACAACTTTGGGGACATTGCTTGCTACATCAGTGCTGCCTAGTTTCAAGGCTGCCATTCCTTGGTCTATGGTATTCATGCCAGGTGCCTTGTTCAAGGTGTCATTGGCAAACGCTGACTGTCCATCAATCATTGCTCCACCCAATGAACTTGGTGCATAAGCATAGTTGCTACTGTATCCTGAACTTTGAGTTGATTGCCCCTGAGAACTGTTATTTCCCCAAGCAGAGAAGTCAATTCCACTTGGGAAAAAATTAAAGCCATGCTGTCCCAGAAATGGTGTACTGCCAAGGGCCCCTGGCTGTCCAAACATGGCATCTGGGAGAAAATGAGGCTCTCCATTGCTTAGCTGTCCATAAGAAGTCAAATAGGGCATGGGTGGATCACCCCCAGTAGACCAAGCAGCTTCACCCAAGGAGTAGGAAAATCCAATGGATGGGCTGTAGTAATTCGGCATGTAAGAATCTGACATGGCAGTATATGCGTTGTTCTGGAAGAAAAAAGCAAGAACTAAAGAGTTAGACTGAACAATACATGCTATAGCACAAAAACTAAATTAAATCTATGTGTAGATCATTCTTCCATGTTATCTTTCAAGCCAAAATTATGCTTTAGAATGCAGGATTATATGAAAAAGCGAGATATTATTTCAGAGCACCAGAGAAAAATGGGGCCATCCTACATCTTATCCAAACCCCAAAAATAAATTCACTTTTGCCACAAAACACTATCTAATGTGTGTGGGGGTTGTACTTTTTAATCTATGTATCCCTTTACTGAGATATAGCTGGATAATGAAACACATAGGAAGATGAATTACAAGTAATGCTAGCTTGCTTCCTTTTCAAAAAATAGCTTGTCAGAGGACTAAAAATAATTTAAATATTGTTTATTTAAATGGTTTATGGAGAAAGGAATTCCACACATCTCCTTAAAGTAACAATAGTAATGCAAATTAAAATACCTAAGTGAAATCTTGGACTATGTTTTACAAGCCAATGAACACACCAAAGAAGATAAAGAAAAAATGTTTCACCTATTGTATTTCAATACCAAATTTCTTAGCAACAGAATATTATATCTTCCCAACCAAACCACTGGAAATATCCCATGTGTGTTTTGAATGGAATAACTGGCACCAAAGTGAAGGCAATCACTGACTACAGGAAGCTATCATTTCATTCTGTCATTCAACCACTAAAACCTTTAAATTTCTCATGTATGTTAGCTCAGAATTGAAAATACAAAAAAAATCAGTGGCAACTCTTCACTATTAACAGTTTCAGATAACAATATATGGCAATCTTCTGTTTATAGTACTCAAGTGTAGGTATAAATAGCATAATAAATATAAGACCTAAGCACTAGAAATAAACCAAACAAATGAAGAGTTACTGTGTTTCTCCCAAAATAAGACCCAACCTTATTTTAGGGTTTTTTTGCTCCAAAAGAGGTACCAGGTATTTTTTTTTGGGGGGGGGGTGTTTCCACTCACCTCCAGCTCCGCCCAGCTGGCCCACTTCTTCTGGGGCTGAAGGAGCAGCTTCATTCTGCTCCCAAGAATGGACCTCCAGCCTGCATTTCACAGTCAAAGACCTTTCCGGAAGGCCACTGCAGCCGAGAACCAAGCTATGGAAAGGCCCGTGCTTGTGAAATGAAGGCCTGGAGACACCAAAGAAGTGTGCCAGCAAGGAGAGGCCTGGCTGATTTTTAGGTGTGTGTCTTGCCCCAAAACTAGGGCTTATTTTCAGGGCAGGCCTTACTTTCGGGGAAAGTCATATTGATTTCTTGATTTTGAAATGCTTAAAGGAATTATATTACTTTAAGGGAACATTTAGGTCTGATTTAAGGAAGTCTATGCTGATCAGCAGCTGCCTACAATTGCTCTAAAATGATGCCTAGGAATGACAACACTGAGATTTGTCCCACCTTCATTCAACTGAGTATTTATGAATGATAACAGCAACAGAGAAATATAATTCCATAATTATATTTGTTACATGACCATTAACTGAACCCCAAACATCAGATGGCTGTGTGTGTGTGTACACAGACATAAATACAATGACTAAGTCAAGCTAGCTTAGGACCTATCTTTTAAATAGAGCTTATTCTATATAAACGTAAACTTGGGCATGTTGACATTTACAGGTCTGTTCTTGTTTTTTAGATATTTGGAAGGAGGGAAGTCATTCCCATCAACAGCAAAGATATAATTACAAGAATACAATTGCAAGTTCAACTCATGTGCACATTTTTATAATTGACAAGTAGCCAAGAAACTGGGCAATGAAAATGCTTATTGTAGTTCACCTTAGCTATCTCATAAGCTGGAACTTTAATGTACAGTTTTCTGTGAAGTTCCCAGATCAAAATATTGCTACTGTTTCTCAGCTTAAAGTTGATACCTATCTTTTATGATTTTATAACTTCAAAGTTCATCTACAATTTTGTAGTTCACTTTCCTTTCAAGTCCTCTCAGAAACTGCACAATTACAATATATACTTAGCTGCAGACCCAAGAATATTTTACAACAGCATTCCTCCAGCCTTCCAGTTATGTTCAGACTACAAATCCTATTCTCCAATTGTTGGCCATGAGCAATGAATGCTGTGCAATACTAGGACATGACCATGTACTGGGCACTAGAATCCAACTTCATGAAGAAATCCCTAGAATCCTCTTCCAAATGATGGAATTCTTGGCCCCCAAATCTCTGCAAATGTTTGTACACAGAAAAATATGTGACTCTTGTCCTTTTAGTAAATAAAGGAAATGAATTTAGAGCTTAAAAATTAGAAGACTGACTCTAACTATACATCCAAATGCTTCTTGACACTTAACCTGCTAAAAGCTTGTTTAGAACAATGACAAGTAGGTAAAAAGAACATTTATTTTGACTCAGTCTTGATTATTGAAGACTAAAAGACATGAAATTTTCTTGGCAACCACACAAAACAAAAATGCTATTATGATTTTGGGGGATATTTTTTCAACTTCCAGGTTTAGTTTACAGCTTATATTTCCTAGCTCTTCTAGCCAAACTCTAACAAGACTCATCCCTATTTAGCTTTTGGGGATCAGCCAAGACCAGCCATGTAAGAGAACACATTCTACATATAGTTTACTAGCTCTCAAGCTCTATGTAATGTTAGGCTTTACTAGATGTATGGTCTCAATAGAAGTGGGTTAAGATCCAAAGCTAATTAAGGTAAAGTACTTTTCAATCTAACAATTTCAATCATATCCACAATTCATTTCTATAAATTAACAGTGTTTATTTCAGTACAAGGTGAACTATAAGCCACCTAGAGATGCCTTTAGGAGAGATGGACAGCATATAAGTTTAATAAATAAATAAACATACGTGGAATAGAGTTGGTCAGCTTATTTTAAATATACTTACTCAGAAATTCAGACAATTCTGTGTAAAATTATTCCTTAATGTATTAAAGTCGGTCCCACTGAAGAAGCTTAAAAGATTTATAAAGTGTAAGACACTGCAAGCATTAACAGATAATTAGTGAATGAGCTGAGTATAAATTATCAAAGCAGAGAAATAAGCAGAATTCTAGATGGCATGAGAAAAAGGGCAGAATAAAAACAAAGAACACCATGAAACAAATAAGTACATTTTCTAAAACTCACCGGTCTGGCCTGAGGACTCAAGTAAGGTTCAATATCATCATCATTTAAGCTGTCTTTCTGATGCGCTGATCCATTTTGCACTAAAAACAAATGTTTTAACAAGGTTACTCAGTTCTGATATTAATGTTCAATAATTTAAGAAATATGGAATTAAAGAACCTTTTGTCAGAAAGTGAACATTTAAGATTAGCTATTACTGTTCAAGGATAAGAGAATACACTCACTTCTCATAGTATCCCTCTGTTTCATTGGGGATTAGTGGTAGGTAGTGAGGTTAAATTAACTCTTGCAAATATATAGTCTTTGTAAATAGTTCCAATGTATTTTACTAAACACAATAAACCTGGAAATTGGGTGGTATACAAATTAAATAAGTAAAAACATCATGTAATGACCCCCCCCCATGATCTGAGACTTGAAGGGAAGCTTTAGTTGACTAACATATACAGGTGTATGGGGAGGGGGGAATAAAGCCTATCATCCAATACATAGTGGGCTGTCATGCAATGTCAACACCTTCCTGCTGCACCAAGAGTCAGAATTATCACTAATTAGATGGAAATTACAGAAAAATCAATCAATCATGTTTATATGTTAATCATGGTTTAAATATGAGCATACATAATACATTATAAAAAAAACCACATTGTTTAACTATGATGTGAAAATTCTTCCTTCTATGGCACAGGTGCTTCCTAAGAAGAAGAGATTTTTTTTAATAATAGAGCAATAGTCTTAAGAGGAACATTTTTGTTGCTTCTTCCTCTACAAACAGAAGTTAACCATCTCTCAAGGATGTTGAGCACATCTCTATGCATCGGAGGAAGCCATCTGCGGCTCAAACAAGTTACGACTTTTAATAGAATTTGTTAGTCAAAAAAGATGTTAGCAGATTCCTGACTTTTTTTCAAGAATATTATTACTGTGCATTCAGCACTAGACAAAGGGTCAGACTGAATGACCTTCCAAGTTCCCTTCCTTTGTCTGAATTTTAAACTTTTGAACTCATAATGGAGTTTACAAGCACTTCCCCTTCTCACAATCTATGACATATTTACAGGCATTTCAAGAAAAAAGAAAGCCTGCATGGTTTTCAAGGAGTTTTAATTTGCTTGTGGAAGCCATAAATTGGGCCCTTGAGGCAGCTGACTTTGCAAACTACTCTCACTTCAGCCTTCAAAGGCTACATTTAAAGCTACACATGCTCATTAAAACAAGGAAGGAAAGTTAACTAATCTTATCTTTTACACCTTCATATTTACTTTTTCATCTATTAATATCTAATCAGGCCATTCTTTCCCCCCTTTAGTTTGAAATACTGCAGATCAGCTATCTAGGTGCAATGATTAAGAATTAGTAGTTTTAAATCAAAAGCCAGTTTTTACTTTTAAAAGTCTGCCTGGAAGAGAGGCCCTCCCTTTTTGTATGCACTTCATACCAAGCCATTCCTTATTTTATCACCCTTCTGCCAATACGGGTGGGTGGGTGGCCGAGCTGGAGAGAATAAAGAGGAATGGCCGAGAGAGGGGAAGAAATTCATCTACCGGAATCAGCCACTGAATCCCTTTTATGAATGTTTCACGCGGCTTTTAATTCTGACTCAACTTTTACAGTAATCTACATCCTCCGGCAGTCCTCTCCTTACCCAGCCCAGCCCGATAAAAAGGACCTATTCACCGACTGCTTTGCCTTTCACAGACATTAAACTATCCTGGCCAACCAAGCTGGCCATTTTCAGAGTCGCTGGCGGAACGCACATCTGCAGATAGTGCAGAGATTGGAAGCTTCTGATCCCACATATCTTGGCGGGGGTCTCGCTGCTTAAGGTACCCTCCTCCCTCCCTCCCTCCCTCCCAAAGAGAGCGAGGTAGCCAGGCCCGCACACGGGAGAGAAAAGGGGCACCGCCACACGCTGAAAGCCGTCGGAGTCGCCCTCCCTCTCCCGGGACGGAGGCTCCTTCAGAAACCGCCAGCCCGGAGCCCCCCGCCGCGGCTGCGGGCTCCTCACCTTTGCTGCCTTGTCCCTTCGGTCTCTGGAGCGGAGACGACGCGGCGGCGTTGGCCAGAGCGAGGCAGGAAGAAAGGGGAAGAGGGAGAGAAGCGATAAGTCATGCGGCGGCAACAACAGGCCCGGCCGGGAAAGAAGGGAGGGGAGGAAGAAACCGAGCCTCAGCCTAGGCCGCTCCGACCTGCCGGCGGGAAACGGCACGAAGCGAGGGAGGGCCGGGCCCGGCAGGGGTTCGTTTGCGAAGGGAGGGACGCGAGGGAAGTGGAGGCGCGAGCCCTTCTCCGTCCGTTTGGCCGTTCCCCCCACGGCTAGGCCTGAAGCCGGGGCCTTTCCCAGCGTGGCGCCCCTCACGCCTGGGGCGCCGCTCTTTCCCACCGCCGGCCTCCCTTCCTTGGCTTACCTGCTCCAAGAGGCTGCTGGCCGACATGGCTCTCCGTTCAGCGGCGGGGTTCCGAGGCGAGCTGCGCGGCGAGGTGAGGGGCGGGGGTGGCGGCAACCGCGGCGGCTTTGTCCGGGGAAGGAGAAGGAGGAGCAGCAGCAGCAGCAGCAGCAGCAGCAGACACACCGCGCGGATCACTCTCGGCTTCCTGGCGGACTCTGACTGGCTCGCCCCGCCCCAGCTCCGCCCGCTCTGCTCGCGCTGCGTTGGCGCTCTAGCCGCTTGAGGGCTGCCCACAGCTCGCGCTCTATGGTGCTCGCCCGCCGCGCGCGCGCGCACTCAGGCGCGGAGAGAGAGGAGGGGGCGAATGGGCAGGAGCGGCAGGCAGGCAGGCAGGCCGGCTCGGCTCACCAGGCGACGGTCACGCGGCCGAAAGGCGAGAGGAGGCGCAGGCATGCCTAGGGAGCAGGCGCGAAGCCAGGCGGAAAAAGGAAAAAAAAGGGGGCGGGGGAAGAGAGGGAGGCGGTGGCGGCAGCCGCAAGCAGCATTGGTGGGAGAAAAGCACGACGGGTAAAATGGCTGATGCGCTTGTGGGGTGTTGTAAGGGTATTGGCAGCGCCCCCCCTTGGGGAGGTTTGGAAACGCAGGCAAGAAAATGCCCAGGAGAAAGAAGTTGTGAACAATGCGAGCGTCTCTTTTCACGCGTACATGCTTCTATCGACACGCGTTCTGACTTGAATCTCGTGTGGGCGAGGGATCAGGAGTACTGATTGCAGCGATAAGGACTGTTTCTTCGGCTGGGCTTACATCAGTGAACCCTAATTCCTAGCTAGCGTCTCCAAATCACCCCTATCTGAAGGATCCCAAGTAGGGAAGACAGGGAAAAGTAACGTTCGCCTCGGAGTTGAGTTTAACGTTTATGGACAGTTTTCGTGAGAAGCTCAAAGTGTAAGTTGCAGTTTTCTCCTTCCTCTTTTGCTGACTTCATCGTCTAGCCTACTACAGTCTTGGATTTCTTGGGTGACCCCAGATCCATGTATAAACCAGGAAGAAACTGATTAAACCAGGAAGAAACTGGCTTACCTGCCTCTCTATATCTGCCAAAGTCGGCTGATGATTAGTTATGCATAATATGCTAAGCCATAATGAGCTTGTTTTGGTTTGGTTTGTCATGTTTTGGGATGCCAGTCACCGTGATTTGTAAAATATTGTTGGATTGGTACATGTTCTATGGTCTCCTGCTTGAATGGGGGGTTGGACTAAAAGGCCTCCAAAGCCCCTTCCAATTTAATTCTGTTATTTCCTTCTTTTTCTCCACAAGACACTTGTGGGATAGGCTGGATTGAGAGTGGTAGCCCTTAAAGTCATCCAATGTGCTTGTGATTGATGGCAGACTTGAATCTTGGCCTGTCTGATCCTACATACCTTCATCACAAATCACACTGCCTCTTATCATGTGCTTTAGATGCTTGATCCCTTGAGTATAAAGCTAGTGCATGAAAACCTGGACTTATTGAGTCAAATAGACACATAGTACTTATTAAACCATGTTAGTTCATATGTTGTACTGTGCTATGAACACTGTATTGAAACGTTACACTTAAATATTCTGAATTGTTTTGAGTCATTACAAATGTATCATTTTTAGTAAACAAAACTTTGTTGAGAAAATGGGCATGTTTGTTTAGTGACCTTTTCTTTGAACTGAAATGGGCTGTTGGGTTTACAGCTGAGATCAGACACTTTTATTAACTGTGTTAACTAAAGAATTATGAACCAGCTTTGGACAAATGAAAAGTCCTAAGTTCTCAAGGATGGTACGTAAATTTCTGCCATTTTTCATCTTCATAAGGAGAGCGATCAGATCCACACGCTGTGCTTAATCATATTTTAATCATGCTTTGTTAAATAACCCACGTTTGTTAGAGTTCATGCCTTGTACTAAAGTAAAAAGAGACCAAATTGAGCCTCAGCACAATGCATTGAAGATCCTTCTCCCACTCAACCTATCATCTATTTTTTTTCCTTTTTTGCTTTTGATGGAGAAGAAGGTTGTACTACTTTCTTTAGCTTCAGGTGCGAAAGGGGCACCATCCACTTCACACAAGAAAGCGAACATAGGTGGTGTAGAACAGTATTTTTCAATGTTGGAACTTTAAGACAAGTGGACCTCAACTCCCAGAATTCCCCAGCCAGGAACAAACACTCCTGTGGACCAGCCAGTGACCATCCTCTTGTCAAGAGACTCCATTTCAACATCTGGTGGGAGTTCCCTTTTGGTTTTCTTGTGTATATGTGACCTCAGTTTTCCAAAGAAACTGAAGAAAATGATTTCACTTTGACATGATCAAAAATAGGCTGACTTTGCTCGTTCTCTTTACTACGGCATTAACATTCTTTAAAAATTAGCGAGTCTAATTATATTCCACTGATGTTTGACTGATTTTAATGACCCAAAGAATACGTGTGCAGGTAGTCCCCAATGTATGACCACAATTGAGTCCAAAATTTCTATTGCTAAGCAAGACAGTTGTTAAGTAAGTTGCATCTCATTTTATGACCTTTTTGCCACAGTGGTTAAGTGATCCACTGCAGTTAAGTGAATAATGAGGTTGTTCCCCCACTGACTTTGCTTGCCAGAAGCCAGCTGGACAGGTTACAAATGGTGATCACATGACCCTGGGGATGCTACAGTGGTCATAAGTACGAAAACTGGTCATAAATCACTTTTTTCAGTGCTGTTGTAACTTCCAGCAGTCACTAAACAAATGATCATAAGTCAAGGATTACCTGTGATCACACTGCCAGGATACAGTCCTTCTTTAGAGCAGGGGTCCAGCCCTGCTGATTTCTTTTCTGTGGGGAGAATGGTGGCATAGCCGCTATAATTGCTGATGGATGTGGCCAGACAGACTTCTTTTTGCAAGACCATTCATTCTGAGCAGCAGGGAGTTATTTGTGGTTTCAGGCCCTTCCCTTTAATGCTCAGTCCCACGTGTTCTCATCATATTTACCCCTTCCTTGAATTCTGATCTCTGAGCAGCCCTTTTGGTAACCTTTGGCCATTCCAGCTCTATCAGGCTACTAAAGTCCTTCCATGAGGAGAAAAACAGAAGTGAATGGAGACCATGTCAACATAATGAACAGTCCTCTTAGGTTTTTGTTTTGCTTATCTTTTAATGCAAAGAAAACCCAAACAAAACAAATGGCACTACCCAACTCCTGTAGGGATTTTTTCTTTAAAAAAAACTGTTTTAAAACAGTTGAACTGGTTTACTCTTCAAGTCTTCCAACTCTGAATTTTAACTTCTTAAAATATGGAGAGGGAGACCATAAGCACTGTGTTATGGCCAGGAGGAAGGCGGGGAAGGGAATCCTTTTTTCACTTTCTCTTCTCATACGGAAGATACTCAAACAATCCACACATATCCAGCCCAATAGAAAGGGAGACCAGTCAGCCACATTGCTGAAGTGATGTGCCATCCAGACTCCTGTAATCATTTTTTTCAAAAAATTATGAACATCAAACATACACACACAGAGACGCATGCACACCTAAGCCAGCATGGTATGGTTTCCCAGAGTGCTGAGTAAATTTCAGGCATGCCCTGTTGGCTGAGCCCAATTCTCCCACTATGTATACAGACAACTCATACTTGAACATCCAGATTGTCAATTCTGTACTTGAGAGAGCAGGTGATCATTGGGTGCTATGTCTGCCATATCTGTTCCTAGTTTCTCCCTGTATCTGCCTGCATGTGCATAAAGCATAAGCAATTCCTAGAAATCTTGTAACAACCAAGGGAAAAGAAAAACTGCTGGAGAAAGTACAAAAAGGAAGAGCCAAGAATTCCAATTTTTGAAGCCACAAATGGGCAAACAGCTTAAGGAAAAAAATTTTTTTAAAAAAAAACAAAAAACAACAACAATACATTCCAAAGACGGTCGGTGACCTGATCGATCAAATCAGGTGCTTTGTTTTTCGTCCACTTCCAAAATGCAAAATGCTTAGAAAGTCAGAAACTGACATGGGATCTCCCTTCCTAGGGTGAAGAATAGCTAAAGATCCAGACGGAAGCTCTTGCTTTAAGGTCATTCTAATCCAGTAGTTATTTCCACTTTGTTTCTGAGACAAACAATCCAAGAAGGGTCACTTCAAATCTGGGTTTACGGACTGCCATCCCTCCTCACTGAGTGATAACAGCAATGGCTTGTTTCCCCTTTCACTAGGCAGGTAAAATTCTGACTCTCCCTATTCCCACAAACCATCATCCATACTGGAAAGCACAGCCTGCCTGCTCTTTCCCCCTGAAGAAAATGACTGCTTAAAAATGATCATCAGCATTTGTGTGAACTTACCTGAAAAGGGGATCAAACAAATAAAAAGGTAAGATGTGAACAATCATTTAGCATGGCAGGATGGCTTGCTGACTAGTCCTCCAAGACTACAATCTCTACATTATGGACCTGGTGCTGATGTTCATCAACCTCAGCCACCACCTTCTCCTCAGTCCTCAACTCTGTCCCCAAAATCACAGCTTTCCCCGCTGATTCTTCAGGATCAGCTTCTGGATCAGGTGCTGGGTCTATTTCTATGATTGTCTGTCCATCCTCTGAAGTGCCTTCAATAGCCTGAATACTAGAAGTCAGGCCAGACTCCATGGCCACCAGTTCCACAGGATTCATCATGGTGGCCACATTAGCAAGAGTCCCACTGTCCTGCATCGCTGCCGAGCTCAGCAGGGCTAAGCTTGAGGAGGGGTGAAGTGTCACTGTATCGGATGAGCTGGTTTTGGAGGAAGAAACCACCGTGGCATAGCGGAAAAGCTGGGAACCTGAGGGCAATGTGTGGACAGTCACTGGGCTGGAGCCCTGGCTGATCGTGGCCATTGGAATGTTGCTAACAGAAAACTGCTGTCCCATGGGTGCGATGGTGATAGGTGAGATGACGGTGAATTGAGGTTGCTGGATGGGAGCCGATGGGCTTAGAACTGTGGCTGAAGCTGGACGTTTTAACCGGGGCCTTTTGGGAGGCTTTGGAGTGTTGACTGGCATCAGGACCACATTCTGAATGGATGGGTTCCTGGCAAGCTTCTTCTGCTCTTCTAGTTGGCGATCTAGTGCTGTAAGAAGTATTAATGGCATAGTCTAATCAAGAAAATACTTTGGAAATTGTCAGACAAGCAGCACAAAAGACAAATGGAAATAGGAAAACAATTTCTAGGTATAACATTTGGTCATTTCTGTGGAGGATAACACCAATTATTTCATGAACAAAAAAACTGGGATGGAGAGGAGAAACTACTTCTCCAAGTATTCCTTAACCCCATCTCAGAGCTGCAGACAACAGTAGCTTTAAAATTAAAACAACATCATATACAGGTTTTCATACCTCCAACGTATACTAAAACTACCAAAAATATTACAGCAAAAATACTGGCCAGAATATAGCTAGTGCCTCTTGGGAAAAGATAAACGTGTATTGTCCCAAAGCTGCTTTTCCAAAAGGCAAGTAGACTTTCTTGGCTTTTTCCTTGAAAACGTTTTGCTTCTTATCCAGGAAGCTTCTTCAGAACTGATGAGTTCTTCTTGAAGCAAAACATTTTCAAGGAAAAAAACTAAGAAAGTTCATTTGCCTTTTGGAAAAGCAGCTTTAGGATAACCATCACCTGGATGATTGAGAATCTCCATAGACATAAATGTATGTTCAATGTGATTAATATACTTTTGGTAATTGTAAAGAATTTGTTGTATTTAACATGAGGAAAATGGGGGAGGAGGAGGAAAAGGAGGAGGAGGAGGAGAATGTACAATGTATAGTTTAGCCTCCACATCAAAAAGGCAAATTTGAGAGAATATGAGTGTACTATAGCAACCAACCAATCAAGGAATATTTCTTGCACAATTAATTGATGAGCTAAGAAAGTTCAAATTTTGAAATTACCTGCAAGAGTGTTAAGAAATTGCTCCTCTCCCTGATCTGTTTGACTCTTCCTGTTATCCAGCACTCTTTTCACTGTGTCCATCAGACCAAATGTATGAGCGACATTATTTAAAACAGCAGCATCTACAGGAAGACATTCACAGATATTGACTAATATTCTAAATGGGATCCAACTCCCAAGCAGAAAGACCTGAGCTATTCCTTTTTCTGCCCATGCAGGATTACTTAACACTTTGGTAGCACTTCCTGTCTTGATTATGCAAGATGAATAATAATAATAATAATAATAATAATAATAATAATAATAATAATAATAATAATAATAATAATAATAAGTTGGAAGGGACCTTGGAGGTCATCTAGTCCAACCCACTGCTCAGGCAGGAAACCCTATACCATTTCAGACATATGGCTGTCCAGTCTCTTCTTAAAAACTTCCAGTGTTGGAACATTCACCACTTCTGGAGGCAGGTTGTTCCACTGGTTAATTGTTCTAACTGTTCTAACAGGAAGTTTCTCCTTAGTTCTAGGTTGCTTCTCTCCTGGATTAGTTTCCATCCATTGCTTCTTGTCCTGCCTTCAGGCGCTTTGGAGAATAGCTTGACTCCCTCTTCTTTGTGGCAGCCCCTGAGATATTGGAACCCTGCTATCATGTCCCCCGTCGTCCTTCTCTTCGTTAAACTAGACATACCCAATTCCAGCAACCGTTCCTTGTATGTTTTAGCCTCCAGTCCCCTAATCATCTTTGTTGCTCTTCTCTGTACTCTTTCTAGAGTCTCAACATCTTTTTTACATCGTGGTGACCAAAACTGGATGCAGTATTCCAAGTGTGGCCTTACCAAAGCATTGTAAAGTGGTATTAATACTTCACGTGATCTTGATTCTATCCCTCTGTTAATGCAGCCCAGCACTGTGTTGGCCTTTTTGGCAGCTGCAGCACACTGCTGGCTCATATTTAAGTGATTGTCCACTAGGACTCCGAGGTCCCTCTCACAGTTACTACTATTGAGCAAGGTACTCCCTATACTATACCTGTACATTT